CTGGGGCTGACTGGCTGCCAGCCTTAATCCAGGTTCAGAGAGAGACTTTGCCCCAAGGAAATAAAGCTGTTGTGTCATAAAATAAGATTTTACACAAATTCCTTCTCTGGCCACCCACATAAAGAACATATACATGTAATTTTTTTTTAAAAGTTTAAAGAAAACTCAGCCAATGAGATCTTTGAATGCAGTGGGTAAAGGATCCTACAGTGAAATGTGATGAGCTGCTCCTTGGGACTCACAAGGTGAAGAGAAAGAACAATTCTCACAAGTTGTCCTCTAACCACCACATGTATGTGTACTGCCCCACCCACATAAATGAATAAATAAGATGTAAAAACAAGAAAACCCGCTAATTAAAAGAAAAGGAAAATTTAAAAAAATCACCGTTATATATTGGTTTGTTAGCCAGTGGCAAATAGGTTCCTTTACACGTCTGTACAAAGAAATCACTTTCAACTCAGAAACTGCAGACTAAAACAACACGGATGTGGGTATTCCATGTTTGCTTAAGCGGTGCTTCCTATAAAGCAGCATGTTTCTTAAACAATAAATTCTTCAAATCTGTCCTCCATGAAAGGACACCAGCCCATCTGAGCATGTGCCTCTGGCAGCCCTTGCCTTTCTCCCCAGTTCCCTTCGCCTTGCTGGAAATCATTCATACACTCTGAAATCATTCCGTACATTATGAAATACACTCATAAACATACCAAGGTCTATTCCCGTATTTGGCCACTTCTTCTTCCTAAGGCTGACTACCAAAGTCCAGCTACCAAAGTGTTAAAAGTCCAGCAATCAAAATCCCCCTTTGGTTCACCCAGTTAACACGCCCAATCAAAATATACTACTGCATCCTAACCCATTCTAATCCAGACCTCCCCTTTTGCACTTCTTAAAAATTATACCTGCAAAGGTCATTTGCTGCGGTTTATCTGCCTGAGTCAGAAAGAAGCCACTTTATCTTTTCTTTCCTACTTAATAATGATCTCTCTGTTAAAAAAAAAAAAAAAAAGTATGTTTGTGCCTAACCAGGGATCCGAAGGAGACCCAGGATGTGCAGGTTTGTGTGTGTGTGGGACTCTCCTTCACTGTACAATAATTCTCTCTGTTAAAATAATGTTTTAACTAGACACTGCCATGCTATCTACAGCACAGTTAATACTCCAAATACAAAAGAAAAATTCAGGGTCTTTTCATACAGAGCCCATGGAAAACTAACACAAGATTCATTATGAATTATTTTGTATTCTAAGTGTAAAGCACACCAAACTAACTTCCAAGGTTCATATTTAGCAATTACTTATTAACAAAATGGCTGGAAAACTTAGGTAGTTTTTAAAAAAAAAAAAAAAAAGCTTCCTGCTCCTGCAGAGGTTTGGAGTCTGGATCCCCACACCCAAATCAGCACCCAGACCCATATGCCTGAGTTTTAAGGATGCCCTTGAATGCCCTCTTCTGGCCTCCACTGGCTTCTGTATGCATTCTCCTACTCCGAGGGAGACACACATACACATATGCTTAAGTGTGCAAATGCATGCATACTCCCAAGCAGACACACATACACATATGCATAGTGTGTACATGCATGCATTCTCCCGGGGAGACACGCATACACATATATAATCTTTGCAAAGTGAAAAGAAGGAAAAAAACTTGCATAGCAACAACTGTGGCCAGGAGGTGCATTTGGATTCCATACAAGTGATTCATGGGTTATGCTGTTTGTTGTTTGAGACAGGGTCTCTCATTGTGAGGTGCTAGCTGTTCTGAAGTGCACTCTGTAGACCAGGCTAACCTCAAACACACAGAGATCCACCTGCCTCTGCCTCCAGAGTGCTGGGATTAAAGATGTGTGCCATTATTCCCAGCTGTTTGGCTTTTGAGACAGGATGTCTTTGTGTTATCAAGCTGGCCTCTGACTTCTGGGGGCAAGTGATCCCACTTCCCTTCCTTATTCTTGGGGTAATTAGCTGAAACTAATTATAATTGTGTATCAGAGAGCACTTATAAGTTTTCTAGTTTGGTGATGTGGGATTCCCCTTTGGATGCTGTGAATATGTTTTATTACCATTGGTTAATAAGGAAACTGCTTTGGCCTATGGCAGGGCAGAATAAAGCTAGGCAGAAAAACTAAATTGAATGCAGGGGAAAAGAAGGCATAGTCAGGGAGACACCATGTAACTGCCAAAGGAGAAGAATGCTAGAGCCTTACTGGTAAAACCATGAATCTGTGATACACAGATTAATAGAAACGGGTTAATTTAAGATGTAAAAGCTAGTTAGTAATACACTTAAGCCACTGGCTAAGCAGTGTTGTAATTAATATAGTTTCTGGGTGATTATTTGTGTCTGGACAGCTGAGAATGAAAATGCAGTCTCCATTTACAGTTTGGGTTTTTGTTTGTTTGTTTGTGGTGTTTTAGGTAAAGTCTTTTTTTTTAAAAAAAAGATTTATTTATTATGTATACAACATTCTTCCTTCATGTATGCCCCCACACTAGAAGAGGGCGCCAGATCTCATCACAGATGGTTGTGAGCCACCATGTGGTTGCTGGGAATTGAACTCAGGACATCTGGAAGAGCAGCCAGTGCTCTTAACCGCTGAGCCAGGTAAAGTCTTGCCATATAACCAACCTCTGTTGATCACTGAATAGTCAAAGTCCAGGTTAGCTTCCAATCTTCTCTGGGAAAGAATTACAGGCATGAGTTGTTTCTATTATTTAAATTATATATACTGGATTGTCTATGCAGAAATTTGCCCTCCCCTTCCCAGTGCAGTGGGAATTCACTCCACACACTCAGGGAAAATAAAGGGGTAAAAACTCTTTAATGATAGTTGGAGTTCAGCTCTGGCTAATGTACAGAGGAGCTGGGTGGGAATAGATTTTGTTAACTTATATACACACTTTGGGCTTAGGAATCCCACAAATGCTGTCATCCTTGAATCTCTCTCAGGTCTTGCCCCCAGGTAACACTGAACAATTTAGACAGAGACAGGAGACTGTAAATCTGACCAGTTGGGCATATGGGAGATTTATACAGCAAAGTTATTTTTCCAGAATTATTTCTAAGTACACCAGTGTTTTTATTTTCCAATGTCATGCACAGCTGACAGAATTATGCTCTTCTTGGTAAGAGCAGGGGACTTAATGACGGACCAGGATTTAATGGTGTCTGGGACCCTCTGCTAGCACCTCAAGATGCCCTTAGAGGCATGTTCTTTGACATGGGATGAGCGAGTGGATTGACCCTCAGAGCTGGTTGAAAGTCAAGATTGAATCTTTTTGTTATAGGCATGAAGCCAGACTGGAGGTCAGTCTCAGGGTACGAACAACAATATAACTTTTCTCAGCAACTCTAAACTTCACTAGTACAAAACTTCCTCACAATTTCTAATAAGCCTGTTTAGTACACTACTTATCTTCAGTGGTATTGGAGACAGCGTTCCTTTACCTGAATTCAACTTTGTGTAACTTAATGTTTCCCAAGCAAGCTTATTAGTAAATCCTTTATAGTATCAATTTTATCGACTGATATCTCTGGTATCCGTATAAGCATCTGTGCAGTGCCCCCAGAAGCCACAAGGGGGGCGATGGAACCCTTGGAGTTAGAGTTACAGGTAGTTGTGAGCTGCAGAGAATCCAAATTCATCCTTAGCTATAGCAAAACACACTACTGATTGCTGAGCCGCTATGGGTCTGTGGTTATTCGGAGATTCACCAGTCTGACCATGAACATATTTTTTTTAAATATAATTTTTTATTGAAAAAAATTTTTCCGCCTCCTCCCCGCCTCCCATTTCCCTCCCCGTCTCCCTTTTCCCCCCTCCTCCCTCTCCTCTCCCCCTCCCCCCA